TGGCTATTTGACAGCCAGGAGACAGCATGGTACAATGATTACATATCAGTGTGTGCTAGGCACTGGAATGGGAGCAGGCCAGGGCTATTTTTGGGCAGGAACACACAGGAACAGAGTTCCGGCTGGCTTCAGAGTTGGCCACACCCACTACAGCCAAAACATCTGCGTGCGTAGCTACAGAGGGAAGGCCTGGAGAGCGACCCCCCTGCCTACCCCGAGGCGGTTGGGCCAGGGGCCCCCTGGAAGGATCAGGGCAGCATTTAAATGCCTCCCCATGCCTTCCCTGGCCTGTCCAAGGCCTGGCTTGCCCGGGCTCCCCGCAGCCTGGGTGCCCAGGCAAGCCAAGGGAAGGCATGGGGTGTGGCCTATTATGCTAATAAGCTGTGCTGTCAGGGGTGTGGCCTAATATGCTAATGAGTTTCTGCTGTTGGGTGGTGCCTATTATGCTAATGAGTTCCTGCTGGGCTTTTTCTACAAAAAAAGCCCTGGAGCAGGCAATCAATTAAAGACCTAAACAACTAACAGTTGCATCAATAATGTTCTCTTTGCAGTTTTCCTGGAAATGCTGTAAGGGGAAAGCCTTTTAAAGTCAATCCTGATCATGGAGAAAGAAAGATAAATTACGGTCATATATGAAGTTTACATGAAGAAAAGGCAGACCTGTTGCAGACAGATAAATGGAAGGTCTAATTAATAAAAAAGAATTATGTCTTTAAACAGAACATATGCTCAGCTGCTCCATGTCCACAGCAAGATTTGATATTACCCAGCACATATTTAATTTACACTCAAGTGCTGACCTCCATATATCGGTCTGGATTTGCACAATAGATAGCTTTCCAAAAAATACATCTTGTCCAAAAGAAGGCAGCAATTACTTAAACTGGATGTAAAGTAACTGAATGGAGACAGGGAGAGTGATAAGCTAAATCATAAAAGGCCGTGTTAGGTTACTAATAGAGCAATCCTATGCTGAGTTACTTGAGTCTAAATCCATTGATTTCAATGGGCTTAAGACTGGCATAACTCCACATAAGACTCAACTGTAAAAGCTACACACACACACACACACACACACACACACACACACACAAAATCGGTATGAGAAAGGTAATACCAAGAAGCAATTATGTCTGTGCAGCTCAGTGACGGCAGCACTGGAGCAAGGCCAGAATGTCAAGAAATCCAATGGAGCTGAAGCTGTGGGTGATGGACATTTTGAGTAACGATCTCCCAATGATCCCCCCACAATCAATGACCACAGAAGGTCTGCGCCATGGAGCTAAAAGCAATTTTTGCGATGTTGGTGCACGCAGAGCATATTCTGTCAACACCCACAGATATATCCTCAACCGGAGATGCACTGTGCATCAGTGCGAATTTGCTACACATCTGTGCAATCATGCTTGGAACTCAGCACAGCATCTGAGAACATCTCTTTTAAAATTTAAAAAAAGCTAATTTTATTTTATTTGGAGCTTTCTATGCCACCTCTTCACAATGCTATTTGAGGCAGCTTACAGCTCCTAGTCCATGGGATGGAAACAGCACAAAACTGCTCGAGCTAGAGCTCTTCTGCAAGTGGAAATGCAAGAAAAAGACCATGGTAGCCTCTTGCACTACCTCAAACATGGGATCACCACCTGCTTTCCCACTTCCTCAAGATGCTGTACATCCAATGACCAGATAGTACAATATATAGGGAGAAAAGCAGTAGGTGTGTTGCACAAGGTCTTGTGCAAGCGGAACTGTGCTAAGACCATTTACGTTTTGCTTATGAATTTCTGGGTCCACGACCCTATGTGGAGGAAAGCAACCTAAACAGTGTGGGTACAGCATCAACAATGGGGGGGGTCCCCCTCCTTTGGTCTTTTTTTACATTCTATGATGTGGCAGGGTGTTTAGAGGGTGAACCTCATGCCCAGCTGCAGAAACACAAATCTTTACACCCGTTTAATCTGGGGCTGGCAAGTGGAAGCGACAAAAGACTTCCGCAAGTGTGAAAGAGGCACCTACAATCCAATGCATTTTGGGTAGAAAAGCCGGTATATAAACAAAGATTCCGTGACAGTGACAAAACTCTGTACTGCAAAAATGCTGTAGCATTCAAACGATTTTTTAAGGCAGACAGCAATGTTTTATTCATGCGAAATCACCTGATAATTAGAACACAACAATTTATTATCCAATAATAAGCTCAGGGAAAACTCCAGTCTGTCAGGTAATTCAGAGGTCAGTCAAATGCTATTTATACATTGGCAGGCTTTCCTGAGCATTCATTCCTGCCGATCATTGCATAAGTGCGCAGCCCTTAGCAGACGCTTCTCCTTGCACGAGCCATGCAGGTTATTGCCAATTAGTGCTGCGTGATGTAGTAACAATTCTAGCAGCTAGCAGGAGACCTGGACTAGGCAGAAATCAAGCATACAGGGGCATGCCCCAGTAGAGAATCCTGGGAGATAATACTTCTAAGTAACTAACTGAGGGGGAGGAATGTTTTAGGGATGATGGGAATTCGCCCAAACATGCAGGATATTTCCACACCTCATCCTCCTCAAGTGCCTCTATCCTTGGCCCTGGAGAACAGAAATTACTTCTTTTTTGCGCTTGGCTTCAGTAGTTATGTAAGAGGATACTTAAACCATATATAGATTCAAGTGCATGTACTGAGAAATCCACTTTGAAAGGACTTAGTAAACTAATCTCTGGGAACAATAATTCTCTTGCTTTGTTTATTTGAAGTTTGGCTGTAACTATCGTTCAAAGATCTTCCCATATTTATTTTTTTCTTAAAAATAGGTCCCTCCCCACAAAAAGTGATAACTGAGGGCTTGTTTCCAGGTAACTGTTGGATGTGCAATGTTCACACAGCCAAGACTAAGAATTTTAAAGTTACAAGAGAATATTTCTGCTTTGTATATAGATATTAACTGGAACATCTCCCCTTATTTAAGTAGGTTTCGCTTAGACATTTGTCTTCCTGGGTGTTGTGCAAAGACTAGCGCAGCAATACGAAATGCTTGTAAAAGAAGTCACTCTCAATATTTAGATCAAGTGTTGAACACATGCAAATGAAGCTACCTTATACCGGGTCCAACTGCTGGTCTATCAGGATAAATATTTTCTATTGTGACTTGCAGCAACCCTCTAGGATCTCAGAAAGAGATCTTTGACACCATCCACTACCTGATCCTTTCAACTGGAGATGTCAGGGATCGAACCTGAGACCTTTTGCATATAAAGCAGGTGCTCTACCACTGAGCTATGGCCCCTCCCCCTCTCCAGTTTTATTTTACTTTCCCTTTCCCCTTAATGTAACTATGGTGGAAAAAATATATTTTTTCAATGCATGGAATAGCCAAGAAAATAAATCATATGCTGTGTTCACATAAAGGAAACAAAATGCATGTCTTTAGTTGCCAACTTAATTATTTACTATAGTTATGTATCACCTTTCAGCCGAAGCATTCAAGGTGCTTTACAATTTAAAATAATGTCTCTGAGACATGATACAAAAAGTGACAGGCAGGAAAGGGAAACAAACAAACAGAAGAAAGATCAACTCTTCTGGCCAGGAGCCCACTGTGGGAGAGGAATAGCCAGACGGGAATTGGCTTCAGCAGAGCCAACAAACAGGGCCTTTGCCTGTCTTGCCTCCATTTCTGATGGGGCCAAATGGAATCATGCCTAACCTTTTACTGCAGACACTGTTGTACTTCATAAATAACTGCTAGAGTTAAGGGGAACCACCCTTTATGTGTGACATGGGGACGTCACCAAAATCAGTACTCCCACATTGTTCTCCCTTTTCCTCCAAAACTTCTAGGATCGCGAACCTAAACTGTTTTTCACAGCCACCAGCCAACGAAGGTGGGTGGAGATAGTGAAACATCACAACAGGGCAAGTGATATTTCCAAGTTATGGGGGAGAAAGAAGCATTCCGTCATGGGGGAACGTGCCATTTCCTGTGCAGTTCTGCCTTAACAGGACAAACCTCTAAGTCTTTAAGATGTTTATAGCAGAACAGGAAATTATATTTTACAAGTTGAGGAACTTGCTAGGCAGTTATCCCATTCCCCACCACAACCTGGGGGTGCCAACTTCCACGTGGGACCTGAAGATCCCCAAGAATTACGACTAAACTCACAACAACAGAGATCAGTTCCCCGGGAGAAAATGGTGGTTTGGAAGGTGACCTCTATGGCATTAAACCCCATTGAAGCCCCTCCCAAACCCTGTCCCTCCCCAGACTCCACCCCCCCTCCCAAATCTTCAGGAATTCACCAACTTGGAGCTGGCAACCCTAGGTTGAGGAATATTCTCTTTGGAAAGATCTACTGGGCAT